GACAAAGGTTGGTTAACACAACCACAACTGAAGTTACTACCTCCCATTGATTTCCTTTATGATAAATGAACCGCTAATTGTGTGGCCTTTTTCTTGTATCTCCGTGACCGGCGACTCCAGCATACGATTGCCCTTGCAATCCGGTGCTCCATTTGCGACTGTGATTCGTGACTTTTGCCTGTTGTGGCAACCAAAAAGTTCAACTGTATGGCATTAATCATGATAAGAATGTGAAAACAGCTTTTCAGCCAAGTAGTGTAGCCCGTTGATAAACTGAATTATGAAGTAAAATGATGAATATGAGAGATAAAGCTTCAAATACTGAAGTTGGTTTAATGTTTGTTTGAATATATAGTGCAGTACGCCGTGTTCACACCAAACGAAGTTTGAACTGAAAAGTCAACCACACAACCGCGTCGACCTGTTTACATCTCAGTAGCAGCGTGATTCTTAGTGCTGAGATGCACGGTGTGTGATTCCTGTATTGGGCTCACAAAGACAGGTTGTGCCATACCGGGTACGGGCAAAATGAAAAATGGTCTGATCTGCTTAATAAGTAGGTAGTATGCTTGTGCTCTTCCTTTAAGGTCCCAGTTTCCATCCTCACTTGGGTAGACGGGATAGCATTACGGATGACATCGGATGCTCTTGAAGCATGCCCAGAGTTTCATCAGTTTCTAGTGGCCTCACCAAAACGAGTTAGAGGCGGTAAATTCGGGTACTGTTGCATTAACCAGCCCTTATTACGGTCAACCTTTCCAGGTTGGAAGACGAACAGGCGAAACTTTCATCCCCACTCGGTGACTCACCAATGAATTACTTCTGCTCGTCAACGGAAATCAGTTCATTCGGACTGGGCGGGGTTTAGACAGACCCCGTCCAATCGGTAACGTGTGACGGATGAAGCACCAATCACTTTGTGGGGGTCCCAGTAAAACGCGATTGGGAGATTTCACTTGTAGTTACAACGGCTTTACTGGAAGTTACAACGGATTTGCTTAAAGTTGTGAAGGTACAGTTTTAACTTATATCAATTGTATAAACATCTGAGGAATCAGCTGGAGACCGATGTGCCTTTGGATGATCTTACTTACATTATCTTGCTTTTGTCTTGCAGCTTCGTGTGCGAGAAGGGTGATCACAGACGTCAATTAAGGTTCACAAAAGTTCTACATGTGCGTAGGTGTAGTGGATTTTATCTAAACCGACTACTGTCAGGCATTGAAGCATTCACTTGCTAAATGTCGTTATCAAAAGTCGTTCTTATTTATTTTACAATATTGTACAATACTTATTTTGTTCGAAGATGCTCAAAAACAGCTGGTGTAAACAGTACTGCGGTAGCACCTATTTGTTTGATAATATTGTTTAACATTATCGGTCTGAAACACACCTTTGATTTAATGGAGTGTTTTTTTTCACGACCGGGACCACAGGTATTGTTTTGTTGAAAAGTCTTGGCCGATCACAATGTCCCTCGATCTACACTGACTTCAAATCAGCGTGGATGGTTTTCAAACAGATAGTGAAAATAGCCCACTGTGATTCAGTTTATCTGATTTTAAAATTTTCGCAGGAATATTAGTGATTGTTTTTAGCTTGATCCACCTCATTTCATCTCCCTCTTTTTGTGCAAAGATGTCTTATTTGACCTTAAGTGGCAAGCACTCAAATTTATAGCGGTGTATTAGGAAAGAAATAAAATTGCTTGTGGTTGTATTTTTACAAATGTGGTTGTGCCGTGCACACGATTCTTTGAACGAATACATTTCCACTGTCAACGAGAAGGAACAGCTATTGCTGTCACAGTGCAGTCCATGCTGCCGAATTGAGAAAAATAAATATAAATTGAATATCTTTTAGCCTTTCTGGAACAGTGTTTAGTCGTTTGGTCGGCATGTGATGCATATAAGACGAGAAATTCCAGTCTTTCTGCCATTATCTTCGGAAAAAATTGTATAACTTCGCAGGCAGTGAAGACCAAATGATTTAAGTGAATAACATTCTTGTGTGCTTTGGGTCTTGCGTTTCAAGGTTAAAAACCTCCAAACACCACGGTCCAAATTTTCTGATAATTTCGTTTTTGTCCGGCTCAATATCATGGCAACACTTCTGGGGCCTGATGTACTTCGTTATTCCCAGTCTGAAGGCTAAGTTTCTCGGTTCCCATTACCGGAATGTAAATTCCCGTGCTCATGCGTCCAAACGCTGTTCATGCTATTCATGTTACCACGATTTTTAAATACAAAACGTAAATGATTCCTTCGTGTTATTTCATGGTTCTCACTATATTCACTTTCTCTAAGAATAGTCGTTGGGAATCCACTTGGTATACCACTTCTCTCCCTTGACTCATTTCCCCGAATACTTTTGTACTATACAACGAATTGAATGGTAAGGATATTGTAAAATATTTTTAAAGTATCATGTTTGGATTGGCCAAACCTGAAGGTTCATGTTTTTGGTCCTGACAGAGGTAAAAAAGTACGCACTGTTGACAAATCCCAAAAACCGGACGAAACCAGTCCAATGCTCTTTGTCGGTCATCACACATAATTCCATCCCGTATAATACAAAATACTTTGTAACTCTGAGTTCAGTGGTGACTTGACTATCTTACTCGACTGATGAATAACTGATGAAGTGTTGGTACACCCGCAGAAGGCTAGATTGGCATTTGCCACGAGAACATGAGAATCGGTGTATTGCGTTGTTTATTTTTGAAAAAAATACAAATACGAACGCACACACAAATTTGACCTAGGTCCTCTGAGTCTATCATAGCTTTGACCTTCTCTCCTTCATACACATTATTCTGAAGCCTTCAAAAACCGTTTATTCGCTTGATAAAATTTCAAAGTAAAAATTATTTGTCATCGATGTGAGTATCACATTACTAATCAGCGGTGGGAGATTTGGTAAACCTAATTGAACAGGGTGTGCTAAGTTATCATGTTTTGCAGTTGTCTAAATGAATCATATTGGTACCTTCTCCTTCCGAATGACAGATCAAATCGGCTGTTTACTTGATGCGGTGAAGGGATATCCGCATTCCTATAGGCCATCATGAAGGGAAGAGAAAAAGAACCATGGTCTAAAATAAAACACACTAAATATTTACGTGCAGATTTACTTTTGCTGCGGATTGTAGGAAAAAATCAACACCCTTCGAGGTGATTCAGCATCGTAATTTCCACTTGTGTGTCGAGACGAAAGGTGATGCAAATCACGATCCCTTAGTATTGATGTATTTTACATACCCTCGGTGAACCTTAGGTGCGACGATTTCATTTCTTCACCATTGTTTCAGTTTGTATAACCATTACCCAAGCACTTTCGTGCGGTGGTTTTGGGTGCTGTCTTTTGGTTGCTCATTTGGCTGAGGAAGTATAAGAAGGATTGGAAAGTTGGAAGTAAATTCGAACAAGAAGTGGAGAATTTCATTAAAATAAAGTTACAAAGAAATTGAAATCGCGCAAGAGCCACCGTTGATGACACTCAGTCCTTTCACCCCGTGTCTCTAACCATTGAATACAACGATCCCTGTACGACCAAGTATCCTGATCAGGTTTACATACCCTCAAACCAGGTTTTCGTTTGATCACCCTTGACCTTTTCCCATTCATTGCCTTCCCAGCAAAAATCGTGTACCGTGGTAATCTATTTTGATGGCACGCGTAACACATGCCCCAATCAACGTAATCTATTAGAGGTCGACTACTTGCCCTACCAGATTCCTATGAAGCTGCCTAGGCAGCGGTGTTCGAACACTGACAGTCTCTCTTTATCCCACTTCTTAATGGTTAAGTTTCTGCAGTATAGGGGAGAACAGACTGAACTGTTACCGCATACACTCGACCCTTCACGGACAGCCGAATGTCGCGACGGCGCCACAGATTTATCAATTCGGCAAATGCCAACCGAGCCTTCTGTGTGCATGCCGACACCTGGTCCCTGACGCGTCCGCCAGGTGAGATATGTTTGCCCAGATAGTAAAATTTTTCTACTTGCTCTATTACTTCCCCGGTTAGAGTGAGGCTGGGAGCTGGTCAAACCCAGTCTTATAGCAACATTTTACAGTTTGAAGATGCAAAACTCATACTGAACACCGCTACACTAGCATTGAAACTCTCCAGAACAGCTTGCAGTTTACTCGGATCTTCACTTAGCAGTACAATGTCGTCTGCCTACTTCAGCTCAAACAGTCTACCACCCGGGAGCAACTCGATGCCACTATCCTTGCGCGATGGAAGATCAGTTTCATAAGCAAATATATAACAAAGTTGAATANCCTGACGAACACCACTTTCCGTGGTGAACTCGGGAGAAAAAGTGTTGTAAGGTTGGACTTGACTTCGGCAATTAGTATAAATAGATCGCAAAATTGAAACAAACTTCTCGGGCACACCTTTCAGAGAAAGGTAGCGCCAGAGTCTGGAGCGGTTGACTGAGTCGAAGGCCGTTTTCCGACCGTGGAAGACACGAATGGTGGGTCTACGAAAGGAATGTCGGTGGTTTAAAATTTGGCAAAGGGTGCAAATATAGTCTATACAATCTCGACCGGATCTAAAACCAGCTTGGTTCTCACGTGTGTCTCCTTTATATGCGGCAAACAATGGACGGAGTATCATGCCACCGAGATGTTTAGAGATAGTGATGATTTAGCTAATTCCTTGGTGATTTTCACGAGAGGATCTATCACTTTTCTTGTAAACCGGTATGATGACCGATTCACACTATTCAGTTAGAACCTGTGATAACTTATTTCTTGTGAAACCTCCATTTCAGATGGAGGACCGGCATCAACTTAGTACTCCTACGTCTTCTATCAGTACACAGTCGACTATGCACACAGTATGCCGTCGGAACATACAGTCCATGGAGATAACGTAATCGTCAGATACCGAGGTGGTCAAGGGATTACATTCCCTTTTCTATGTGCAGAGATTACAGTCATTGGCATTTATTCCATTCAGTACCTCAGATTTTGATTGATGATTTCAGTGTATCAACTAATGTAGAATCCAAACCAGGCCTGACGTCCGGTGTTTGTGATGCCAACCATTATTCACTTCAAGGGACCTCTTTTTCAGTTAGCGCTTGAAAAATACCGAGGGTAATACTAGTGTCAGTCGTTTACGATCATATTGTACTGTACTTCGGACGCTCTTCCATTTCTCGTTTTTTGTGTACCAACTGTTTGAATGTTTCAGGCAGGGACTTGATGAAACGCTGTCATGTCTCAGATTGTAGCATCATTAAGCTCACGATAAACAGTGAATAAGGCCTAATCATATCATATTTTCACACCATGAATGGTATATGACATCTCACCTTTCTCACCGAGCAGCAAAACATGATGGAAAGTATCTGTGGGACAAGAAACGCATGAGCCTGTAGGTGATTCCCATAGTAGAACTTTGACGTTGATTTGAATGCCGGACTCACTCACGGAGTTCACGGGAGTACATAGATTAAGCCCAACAGAAAAATGTTATCGGTTGTATGCAATTTATATTTCTCCAGAGTATTTGAAAAAACCAACCATGTATTGCTAGTTTTCAAACACAATAAGTGCTGGCATTGTCACTAACAGCTGATAGATTTGCTGGTTGAGAACACGTGACCAGACACTCATACACACACACATGGATCAGTTATCTGTCACGTGCGCTCTTCCCAAACATTGAAATTACTGAACTAACCTGATCGATAAACCGTACTGTTCCGATGCTTGTAAGTGTTTCCGAGCCCAAAAAAGGTTATAGAAACAACACTCAAATGAATCTACGTTAATTATGTTGTTTTCCACAGTTTCAGGCGGGGCGAAACTTGTCTTATATGGATAAAGATGCTGTAATTTAGATAATTGCATGTGCGCGTACAGCATACGGATATACTCACGGAAATAGGGAAAGCGTTACTTCATTGTTATTCAATAATTATCACTTGTTAGAAAGCCGTTGGTAAATGATTTAGGCATGATAGTATCCTACTGAACAGTTGAGTGCCAGAACAGTTCAGTTAGAATCAGATCCTTGCAGCGGACATTGACGAACATCACCGCTAAAGTATTGGAGGATGAGACAAATTTCTTCTTTGGTCCAGCATCAAATTCAGTATTGATTACGGCTGGCTTGAAGCCGCATTTGTTGGGTGAAACAGAGAGATTTCCAGTGACAAGAAGAGTCCTGCCTGATCATACCAATAACATGTCCAAGAATGTTTTGATATGTGCTAACCGGACCCACTACTTTTTCTATCCTTTTGTTTTACCACATTGAAAAATAACTCAATTTGCGAAAGCGATAGATCTTTAACGGTCATGTACCTTTTGTATGCTTGACAGCTTTGAGGTTAACTTGAAGTAACTCAGAAATCCATTACTTTGTTTTAATGAACAAACTGATGGGCTAATGTCTTTAAAATGCTCAAGCTAACTGTTTTTTTCCAGTTGATCTGAATTTTAAAAAATGATTTGTTCTCTTTTTCCTATTCAATTATTATCCTTTTGTCAGTTGTCAGCGTGATCGTGACGAATGTGCTCAGGGTTCTGCCACTGATTTCACATCAGACTCGGAGACTGAAGCACCCGATACGCATCAGTCTGTTCGTTGTTTCACCCCTGGTCACGTGGCCCGTCCTTGTTGCGGTCCACAGGCACAGTGCGTGAACACATACGGTGGCTACCACTGTGTTTGTCCCAGTGGTTGGACTGGTGCACATTGTGAATACCCGCCAGCGCTTTGGCCCGAAGGCTATCATCCGGTTGTGAACCGAACGGAAAAAGAAGCGTTGGCTGCTTCGGATAAGCTGAGTCTGTTTCTTTTCAACAATGAGATTGAGAATGCAGTAAGCTACGGGGTTATCGTTGCTATTGTTGTCTCAAGAATAATTTTGCGTCCAAGATTGGCATCCAATGTATAAACAGTGTTTCCTTGCCATAGGGATGCAATAGGGGTGAGAACACACTGTATCTTCATTTCGAATGATTATCTTTTGGATTTTATCTTCATGCATTATCCTCAGTCTATCCAATCAGCCACATACTCGGAAAGTCCCGGATATAAATTTCGCTCTGATTTCGAGCGGAGGATTTTGTATGAAGATGAAAAGACTAAAGTACAGCCGGATAACACAAAATTGACTTATCCCACAACATTATTCATAAATGATCATGGGTTAAAATTCACATGAACAGCTTTTAATAGCGGGGACAGAAAGTTGTCATCATTGAAAAATACGATTGCTTCCCGTAGCAACCTGTAATTGCATGAAACTCAACTAAGTGACGTGTAAACCGTCTGGTTAGAATGACGAACAACTAACTACAGTGGTCACAAGTGTGTTGTGTTGCACACAAACAAAGACCTTAATTATATGTGCCGTGACATCATCTACTGACACCGCTCGTCGTCGGTTGTATGACCTTTACAATGTGTTCCTTTACCTCAATTTGGCTTGTGTTCAGGTTATATAATGATTTTGAAATCATGTACTTTTTAAGGTATGTGGTACTTTCATTTCCGCTAGACTGTTCAAATTTATGTGATGGAACAGTTCAACGGAATCTTATCAGTGTTTCTCTATGAAATACGATTGTATTTCAAGTGAACCCCAGCAGTTTTGCAGGACATTTGATCAAAGTCCAAATGTTTCAGTTCGCGCTCACCATCGAGCGAGACTAGGATGTGGTAAATATATGCATGACCGCAAAACGTTTTGGGTAGACATCTACTTAACATTTAGTTCTTAGACCAGGAAACGTGAAATAATTTCATTATCAGAACTGAAGATTTGTGCAGTCATTTTTAAAATGATATTTTTTACTTCCTTTTTATTGAATGAATTTTCTTGAAGGTAGCTGATCAGTCGTTGAACTACCTGGGGACTTGGATAAACCCATCGGATAGGCAATGTAAGACAGAATTCAAACACTCAATAGTTGAACCAATGGGATAACGAAACAGTCGATCTCTTATCTAGTTCGTTAGAACAGAGGGAATACAAATACTGCGAGATGTTAACATTCTTTTAATCTCCTCAGGTACAACAATGTAAAGCATTGCTATTTATACAAGAAAGATTTGATAACCACAGTGGTTCAATGGATAACAGTCGGGGGATTGGGGGAGAGATCAGTTCCACGGCTATTCGACGGATTGCGTCAGAAACCTTTTTGCACACAAAATGGAATTACATAATTTGATTTCGTATTAAACTCACAGTTACTTGTGAGTAGTTTGTGTGGGATGATCGATATTGATTGATTTGACTGACTATCCGTCGGACTTCACCTCCACGCACAATCCTCATTTCATCGATCCAACCATACAGTTGGAAGCACTAGACTCGAGTTTCGCGCTTATTAGAGCTCATCAGTAGTGCATATCCACAGTCCTGTCCAGGATTTGAACTCCGGACCCATCCCATGGAAGGCGTGTGCGTTACCACTGTGCCAACCAGCTCATGCCCTGGCTGAACCCAATTGCCAATTCATGTTTGTTCAGGTGTTGTCTTTTGTCTTAATTTGATTAGCATCGCCTTGTTGAACGCCAAGACCCACTTACCTAACAACGGCTTTAACGAAAAAGTGGGTCAACACTGTATTCAGTTGTCAAGAAGTGTTTTGCAATCGATGTCCCTAGATTTCTCTTATCAGATTAACCTCTAAGACTATGGCATTGATTGCACCAACCACTTGAAGATGTGCTTAAACATTCGTTATGAACGGGGCCGATTCGTTCTGCCGATGTGTCAGTGAAACTGCAGGCAATCTCATGAACAAAATGTGAAGCAGAGTTGGGTGTTTGGCTCCGCGTTCGGTTGTCTAAACGAAATCCTTGGGTATACGGTATCAACCGAAGCTGTGGGGCAGAAAATGTTCGACAGAATGCCGTCTTGAGCTTTTGATGCACGTATTTCATTAGGTGATCGCCCTTGAAGGCGAGTCAAAGAAAGACACAGATGGGCTAAACCGGTGACCTTTGTCTGTTATGCCTATCAATTTATTTCTCTAGATAACCACTATCCAGTGACATCCTACGCAGAAGGGCCTGCTATGTTTAAAGTGTCTCAGGGGAGCAAATATTCCTGGCACGATGGAACAGAGTTTTCACAAGACCTCTTTCTATGCCACAGGAGCAACACTAGGACATTGTAAGAATTGTCCTCTCCATGTGGTCTTATGGTAGACGGATCGTTACGAGTTCCTATCTGATTGGTTCCTGTTTTCACATCTAAAAATTTCAAACTATCCCTCTTCTCATCAAGAGAAACAGAGAGATTGAGGTGAATAGTATTAAACAGTGTACATTACCTATGGTAATGATCAGAACTTCTTAAAACCCGCGACCCAGTTACAGCAAGAAGGTTCACGCGCATCTTTCAGACACGACAAGGCGTGAGACACATGTACACAACTTCCCGTTGGTACCACGCGTTCTGTTTTATAGTTCAACTATGCAAACTGTTCGTCTCACCTTGGTTGTTGCCCCTGTTTGATTTGCCATAGCGTTGGCTTACCTTACTTGAGCTACAAGAACGTATCAGTTTGTTTTGATGGAGTTTACTACTAGATGCGCCAATCGGATAATCACTATGGGGCTGGTGGTCGTTGAGCCATTTTAAAGTTTTTAATTTATTCGATTTCTAGCAGACTAAAATGCGTGGTCTCCTATCGTAATACTAAGAAAATGAAAACTCCTGCTTAGTGATGAACAAAACCAGTCTGATACGGCTTGCATCTTAGAAATAAAATATCCAAAATAAAAATGGTCTTCATTTCTGAAAGTTGTTCCACATCTTAAACGCTAGCTCATGGTCTTAGAGGGCTATCTCGTTTGATTTAAGATCTAATTGAATACCGACAAACTTATCAGGCCATTTTATACTGAAATGCCATCAGAGAATACTCAGAAAGATGCTCATAAGACGGCATTCCAATGGCTTCGTGGAAAGACGGTACTTATTTAGGGCTTTACTCAGCTTACTATCGACCAATTAGAGGAGACTTGATTTTGTTGCATAGAATACAACAAAGCTCAAAGCACCAGTGTCGTCCGCTGGTCATGTTGTCACCCAAAAACCACTTCAGGGGATATAACCGGTATAGTATCAACGCAACTTGGAGTTCCCTTGAAGCCAAAGTTGTTTGGACTTACACAATTGACGATTTCAAACAGAATTGACGAGTGGTTGATTTCAACATTCAGGAAAGTGCAAAAAACAGGAAAAATGTGTGACGTTTCTCTTAGGCGAGACTGTGTACATCACTTATCATTCCTATTTGTTCTGACAATCGATTCATCTGCTCCTATGGGACGGAAAATGCAGTAACTGGTAAGCATCTCTCATGAAAAAGCTTTCGCCTTGGCCCCAAAAGTAGATCACAATGTAAACTTTTCCCTCTCCCGGACTCGAACAGCCATTGTTTGAGTTGTGATCATTAACTAGAAAATAACAATTTTTAGATTCTTAATGATCACGATACTCGAAAATAAAAAGAACACAAAAAGGTCTGTTCTTAAGATACGTTAGCTTGAGTTGTTCATTGTAGCTGCTGATTTATGGTTATTCACTAAAGAGCTAAGCGAACAAGGGGAGGCTGGCTTTATCTTATATCTTAATTCACTTCTTTTTATTGTACATATAGTCATACATTTTTTAGAAAGATGGAGGCAGTCAATCCCACACGAGACTGGGGAATGTCAGGTGTTGGATTCGAACACACGTCCTTCGGGACGGTGATTTGGTAACCTTTACCACTTGAGCACTACCGCCCATCAT